TTGATTTTTCATCTCTTCAGCGAAGTCTCCACATCGCTGACTCTGCAGAGAAGCTGCGCCGTCGAAGTGCCTTTCAGCGGGACGAGCCATCTGCACGCAGATTGAAGACGCTATTTCCTCGCCTCTTCACCACTGTTCATGCTGCGCTCTCCGGCGCCCATATCCTTTCTCATTGCATTGTGTGTTCGCCTCGAACACACTTCCTAAAAGAGCTGAGCACGTCATCCAGCATTTTAAAGATATAAAATGCTGGATGACGTGTACTTTCCTGCTATTAAATCCAGATAAAACGCAGGTATTACTTATTGGTCCAAAAAACTGCCCACAAAATCTCTTACAATACAACTTTAATTTAGAAGGATGTACTGTTACCTTATCCACTACAGTAAAAGACCTGGGTGTTATACTAGACCGCAACTTGTCTTTCGAAAATCATATTTCATATGTTACAAGAACTGCCTTTTTCCACCTTAGAAACATTGCTAAATTACGTAACATGCTATCTGTTTCTGATGCAGAAAAGTTAGTTCATGCATTCATGACCTCGAGACTAGATTACTGTAATGCTTTATTAGCTGGTTGTCCTGCATCCTCAATAAATAAGCTACAGTTAATCCAAAATGCAGCTGCTAGAGTTCTTACTAGGTCAAGAAAATATGATCATATAACACCGATTTTATCTTCTCTACACTGGTTACCTATTAAGTTCCCTATCAATTACAAAGTACTACTACTGACCTATTAAGCCCTAAATGGTCTAGCTCCTGTGTATTTAATGGACCTTCTATCGCCCTACAATCCATCGCGTTCTTTAAGATCACTAAATTCGAGGCTTCTGGTCATTCCTAGGATATCTAAGTCCACTAAAGGAGGGAGGGCGTTCTCACATTTAGCTCCTAAACTCTGGAATAGCCTTCCTGATACTGTTCGTTGCTCAGACTCGCTCTCCCAGTTCAAAACTAGATTAAAGATGCATCTCTTCAGCCAAGCATTCACATAATGCTTACCTTTTATACTACTGTTGAATCAGATCAAATGCATTAATATTATGAACAGCAGCTACACTAATTATTTCCCATCTGCTTTTCTGCTGTTTTATCGGGACGCTAGTCGAGGTAAATAGCGTTCGTCAGCTCCAGTTTGTATCCAGACTCTCACGGAGACTTCAGATGCCCCAACACCTGCTATGAGACGACTCGACGCCTGTGAAGAGACGACTCAACGCCGGCGATATGTTATGCCCTAAATTAATACATGATGATTAACTAACTGTATTTTTCTATGTACATTTCTGAAATGCACTTTCTGTAAAGCTGCTTTGAAACAATATGTATTGTGAAAAGCGCTATACAAATAAACTTGAATTGAATTGAACTGAGGCGTTTTTGCAAATGCCTCGTTTCTCTAAGTGCGGCTCTTGCCGAGCCCCTCTCAGCGACGGGGACCGCCACATTCTGTGCGGTTCCTGCCTGGGACGTAGCGCTTCTGCACGGAATGCGACACCATGGTTATTTCGACCCTGCGGGCTCGATTAGCCACTTTCGACGTGGACCCCACCCCTCCGCCTCTCTTGTCTGGGCCGCGCCGTAAAAAGCGCCGTTCACAGAGAGCTCCGGAGCCCGCTGCTGTGAGCGAATGCACGTCGGTCATTTCCCCGTGTGCATCGCTCCCTGATTCCCCCGCCTCGATCACGGCCGGCCAGCCGCCGTCTGCTCCAGTCGTGCATCTAGAGTCTAATGGGGACGACGCGGAAGAGGACAGCTGCTCTCTTGCCAGGTTGGTCAGGCTCCATTCCGGACCCCGCCCCTTCCTTGCAAGAGTCGAGCGGCGTGCGATCCAGCGTCAACGCTAAACTTCTTCGCCTCATCACCAAGGCCGTGGAGGACCTCGGAGAACTTTTCCGATCTCAGAAGCGCCACGGACTTAGCTCTACGAGCCACCAAGTCCGCTGCACAGGCAATCGGGAGAAACATGGTGTCTCTCATTGTCACTGAGAGACATTTATGGCTCACTCTGTCCGACATGAAAGAGTCCGACTTTCCTCGACGCGCCTGTCTCTCCAACCGGTCTCTTCGGCCCGGTGGTCAAGGGCTTCACCGAGCGCTTTCTGAAGTTCAGAAAACGTTACAGGCCATGCAACATTTTATTCCAAGGCGCTCCAGCTCCGCGACAGGTCGCTCAAAGAAGCAGCCGCCTAACCTAACAGGTCCCTCCAGGGGACCCAGGCCTAAAATCACGCTGAAAACCGAGCCCTCAAAGTCTTCCAGACCACCCAGAGAAGACCAAGCCACAGCCGAACCTCCATCAAAGATACCATGCTTCGTTCTCTCAGTCCCCTCAACAGAGCCAGCTGGAGAAGTTTGTTTTACAGCCAACGAGCCCGTCAGACGACCTGCTTGTCTGTACCCAAAGGCCGTTTTCACAGCTACCCAAATGCATCTTTAAAAAAGAGCATTATGTCTGTTTGTCCGGCTCATGAAGTTAAAAATTTCTCAACTTTGTCGCTTCGCCAGACACGCCCCATCCAGTCGCCAACGGTCGCGACCGCGCGTGTCACCGGAAGTCGCCCGCTCCCCATTGAAAATGAATGGTATCCTGTCGCGTGTAGTGTGAACGGGGCTTTACAAGTCTAAGGGCCTTAGGTGCCCTTTAAGTATCAGAGCCCATTCGACCAGGGCCTCCTCATGGGCCTGGTCCAGGGGGGCTTCACTCAAAGATATTTGTATGGCGGCAGGTTTTACAACCTGGAAATTCCTGCCCTACAGGCTAAGCTGTTTTCAGTCTAACATTCCTGACTGATAGACTGTAGGTTTCAGTCATTATACAGTTCAGGCTGGCTTTCGTCCACCCTGACTGTTATATTGTGTTAAGCACCCAGTCCATTTTTTATTTGGCTATGTTATTTTCAGGCCAGCTACTCGTCGGTCTGAATACTTCCCATTATTAGACCCACTACTCGTCGGTCTAAATATTACCCACTATTATGTGTGCCACGGGCTCACGCCCTTGGGGCCATGTGTGGACGACTCTAGCACGCACGGCCTTTTACATTGGGTTCCCGTAGCGTAAGCTAGCTTACTCTCGTAAGAGAAAGCTCTCGGTTACTAATGTAACCTCGGTTCTCTCTAGATGAGGGAACGAGTGTTGCGTAACCCTGCCGTGCTTGTGCTACGTTCCGGTTTCGCTTCAGTATGAAAAACCAAAGAACATCCTATCTGGACTCGGCTTATATACACATAAGCCACGCCCATTGTGACGGGACGGGACGTGACACGCAAGCGCGCCCTCATTGGTTCTTACTTCACGAATAGTCCATCGATAGGCTGCAGCAGTTGCCACAGAGCAACCAGCCTAGGTCTGCTCTGACCAGCAATGCATTTTAAATTAATGCAAAATTAAGATAATTTAAAATGCATTGCTGCTCAGAGCAGACCTAGGACCCGTAGCGTAAGCTAGCTTATGCAACACTCGTTCCCTCATCTAGAGAGAACCGAGGTTACGTTAGTAACCGAGAGCGTTATTCTTTCTACCCAAATCCTGGGTTGAGCCTTTTAGGTAAAAAAAAAATGTGGGTTGTTTTTTCAGAGTTTGGGTAGTTTTTGTGTAACCCAGATCCTGGTTCAGATGTAACAACCCAGTGTTTGGGTAGTTTTTCTATTACCCAGATCCTGGCTTGGACGTAACAACCCAGTGTTTAGGGCATTATTGTGTTACCCAGATCCTGGTTTAGACATAACAACCCAGTGTTTGAGTAGTTTTTCTATTACCCAGATCCTGGTTCAGACGTGACAACCCAATGTTTGGGTAGTTTTTGTGTTACCCAACTCCTGGGTCAGACGTAACACTCCAGGGATTGTGTTATTTATTGCAGGCTTTTTGCAACCTCTTCAGGAGAGATCAGTGCTTCATCAAATTTGTGCGTGTCTTCTGTGAAATACAGGTTTGTGTACTTTTTAAAAAATTTATAAATACGTTATTTCTCTGTATATCGTTTGAATTTATGCAAAGCCACATACAGGGGCACGATGTGAGTCACCTAGACGAGTCTCGCGTCGATCTTTTCATGTGATGGAAACGCCTGCTGCCTTGCAAAAACATGTATGATTTTACTAAAAAAAAAAGATTATATAAATGCTTAGAAAGTTCAAATATGTTCTCAGAGCTGTACACTGATTGTTTATGGACAAGTTATGGAGTTTTTGTGTAGTTCAAAGTGACAATTAAATGTTAATGTTTTATTTAAAGCAATTCCAAAATTTTACGCTGGTTTCACTAGTGCCTCCAAATGCTCTTAAATGTGTATCTGCAGAAGATCAAAGTTTATATCCGGTAAGCACGTATCTTTAAAAGGCAAAGCAAATAGTAGAAATATTATCTGAAGAAAAAAGCATTGCATCATTAGCGGTTGAATATTCCAACCCAGCGTCAATGTCTCTGTTTCTATTTAAATTCAGCTTGAACAAAACCATTCATGTTTAGTGTGAAAAAGCCTTCCACCCAGTTCACCTGCTTTTTAGGCCTTTCCTGTGTCAAATTCATATAAAATGACAAAATCAAGAAAGTTCAATGTTAAAATAATTTTATATTTATTTAATTGAATCTCTTTTTATATTCTTGACCTGAAACAACGCAAATCTCGATGTATGAATGAAGAATCAAGAATAAATACCAACCTATTTGTTCTTCAGTATCATGGTGTTTCATTTTCTTAAATTATTTTTGATGATCAAAACAAACTTTAACTAGGGCTGCAATAACTAATTGATGAAATCGATCATGAAAATGATCAACCACCAAACTAATTATAGATTAATTGTGTATCCAGAGGAAAAACATTCTTATGGACAAAACTCATCTGAAAAATAATATGGTTGGTGAGCCAATCCTGAGTGGCGATGTCACTACACACATTCAACCATCATGGTTCGGCGCGGTTAGCCAAGTGGAACAAGAAGCCTTCTTGGAACATGTTGTGGTCATTATTGAACTTTGCACACGGTTAGCCAAGTGTGCTGAGAGTTCAGGGCCGAGAACGGTTTGTAAATGTGCCGTGCCGTACCAGGCTCAAGTGGAAACACAACTGGAACCTTTTCTGAAGGTGGAAAAGCAGCTTTTGTTTCTCAGCACATAAAGATGAACTACTTACCGTGATCTCAGACTGTGGTGATGTGGTTTCTCCACTGTGTGGATCTTCATGTGTCGCTTCAGGTGACTTTTAATAGAGAAACTCTTTCCACACTGATCACAGATGTGCGGCTTCTCTCCAGTGTGGATCCTCTCATGTGATCTCAGAGATGATGAATCACTGAATCTCTTGTCACAGTGTGAACACTTGTAAGGTTTTTCTCCAGTGTGGATCCTCTCATGTGTTTTCAGAGATGATGACACATTGAATCTCTTGTCACAGTGTGAACACTTGTAAGGTTTTTCTCCAGTGTGGATCCTCTCATGTCTTTTCAGAGATGATGACAGACTGAATCTCTCGTCACAGTGTGAACACTTGTAAGGTTTTTCTCCAGTGTGGATCCTCTCATGTGTTTTTAGATCTGCTGACAGACTGAATCTCTTGTCACAGTGTGAACACTTGTAAGGTTTTTCTCCAGTGTGAATTCTCTGGTGCAGTTTTAAACCGTCCGCTGTAGTAAAAGTCTTCTCACACTCAAAGCACATGTACTCCCTCAAACCAGTATGAGTTTTCTGATGCCTATGTAAATGTTGCCGCTGTGAAAAACTCTTTCCACACACAGAACATGAATACGGCTTCTCCTTCGTATGAACTGTCAGGTGTCTCTTCAGGTCTGATGCAGTAAGAAATGTTTTGCCGCATTGATCACATGAGAACGGCTTCTCTCCGGTGTGGATCCTCATGTGAATATTAAGGGATGATGATTGACTGAAACTCTTCCCACACTGATCACATGAGAACGGCTTCTCTCCGGTGTGGATCCTCATGTGAATCTCAAGATGACGTTTGCTTGTGAGAGTCTTTCCACACTGAGTGCAGGTGAAAGATTTCTTGGCTCGTCTTTTCTTTAAAAAAGTATTTTTAGTCTTTGAGCGACTCAAATGTTTTCCTCCAGGTTGGACATGATGTTCCTCCTCCACTTCACTCAGTTCTTCACTCTCCTCCTTCACTTCACTCAGTTCTTCTCTCTCCTCCTTCACTTCACTCAGTTCTTCACTCTCCTCCTTCACTTCACTCAGTTCTTCTCTCTCCTCCTCCACTTCACTCAGTTCTTCTCTCTCCTCCTCAACTTCACTCAGTTCTTCTCTCTCCTCCTCCTCTTCACTCAGTTCTTCTCTCTCCTCCTTCACTTCACTCGGTTCTTCTCTCTCCTCCTCCACTTCACTCAGTTCTTCTCTCTCCTCCTCCTCTTCACTCAGTTCTTCTCTCTCCTCCTCCACTTCACTCAGTTCTTCTCTCTCCTCCTCCACTTCACTCAGTTCTTCTCTCTCCTCCTCCTCTTCACTCAGTTCTTCTCTCTCCTCCTTCACTTCACTCGGTTCTTCTCTCTCCTCCTCCTCTTCACTCAGTTCTTCTCTCTCCTCCTCCACTTCACTCAGTTCTTCTCTCTCCTCCTTCACTTCACTCAGTTCTTCTCTCTCCTCGCTCTCTTCCATCGGGTCTGACATGAAAGAAAAACTCTCATTTTAAAATGTTCTAAATAAAAATAGTTCAAATAGAGAAATATGGAGTGAATGAAGATAAATTATAAATTATAAATATTTTTTATAAATGAATTATACGTCCCTGAAACTTTCCATGAATGAGGTAGACTGATCTTCCAGTTATTTTTTAAAGAACATTATAGGCACAAATCCCATGTTGACAATATGAAACCTCCCTTTACTGACCATTTGTTTAAAAAAAAAGAAACTTTTGCAGCCATGTCATGTTTATATAAATGTGATGAAGGGCTTGAATGTTTCTAACATGAATGTTCTTCAGCATCATGAATGAATGAAGAATAAACACCAACCTCTTTGTTCTTCAGGATCTTCAGTGTGTTTCATTCTGCAGGGTTCTGGATCACTCATGTTCTCACTGTCCTCTTTAATAAACTCAGTCTTGGCAGATTTCAGCTCTTCCTGATGCTTTCATGCTTGTCTTCACTTGTAACTGATGGGAATTTACAGCATTTATTGAATAATTACAGCATTTATTGAATATTATAGTGGGAGGAGCTTCACTGATGATGAATTACAGTGGGAGGAGCTTCACTGATGATGAATTGTAGTGGGAGGAGTTGATCTGCCAAAATCAAAAATATAAGTTACTGAGTTTGTTTTTATGCTCATGGACATCAGAATATAATAATGTAAATTCTTCCAAATATAGATAATGCTAAGAACGACAGCTGAAAGCGTTAACAGAAATAAACATAGGCTACTGTTAGATTTACTGTTAGATTTAATGAACAATGCCAAACCCAGCGCTGAGGGAGAAAAGGTAGCCTCCTATTATCACAGTAAAGCTGCTTTGAAACAATCTATATGTAGGTATATGTACTATTACTAGGGAAGGGGATGAAACAAACAACAACAAAAAGAAGAAGAAACCGCTAGCCGGTGGTCACAATCAGTTCACTATCACAAATCTCTTACAACCCACCGGTTAGCGGGAAAAGAAAAGAAAAAAAAGAAAAAAATTAAACTGTTTTCGGCTTCTCTGAGAGAGTTTTACACGCATATCATTCGACATTTTGAACCACCGCGGAAATGTCAGTGAACAAATCACGTTGTCAGAAATTGGCATCAGCCAATGAGATTGCGCATTTCAAGTTAAATCGCCCATTTTACTTTCATGATTAGTTGCTGATAAACAGGAAATTACCCTATTTGGATCCAACAGCATTGTACAGGAGAGAGAGCTTTTCAACGGTGTGTGTGTGTGATGACAGGGTGCAGGCAGTGATCACGGACAGTGATTTACAACGCCAACTTTTGATGAATTTAGGCAAAATCTACAGACGCAAACACACAAAGTGTAGTAAAATAAAGACCTACCGTATTTTCCGCACTATACGGCGCACCGGATTATAAGGCGCACCTTCAATGAATGACCTATTTTAGAAAATTTTTCATATATAGGGCGCACCGGATTATAAGGCGCATAAGATACTGCAGTCAAACGTTTGACTGGGTTTGCGTTATGCATCCACTAGATGTCAACAAATGTCAACAAAACAGTCAGAAAAGTCAAACTTTATTAAGCGTTCTGACAACTCCGTTCACTCCCATGGTAACGTTGTTCAAACATTAAAGGAGAACTCCAGTCAATTTTAACATTGAGCTCATTTTTTGTAAATTGGGAGTGCTGTCAGTACAGATAACAACGACAAAAAACGGTGTTGCCTACACCGTGTTATCCTCTTTTTAAAATTTGCACCCTGTTGACTTAAACGGGACAAGTTTTAAACCTGCTTTTAGCCTCTTAACAACCTTAATGTGTCATTACAAGTGCACAGCCGAGCCATGTGAGTGAACACGGTGAATCTGACTGCACATACCCGTATTTTCTTCCTGTTTTCGGTCGAAGTCCACAGTAGGCGATTGTCGAGTGCGCGCGCGCGCGATCATTGGTAACTAAGCAACAGTGGAGACTCAGCCTGTCAGCTGTCAGCCGATGACGGTGCTGTGTGGTGTTCTGAGAATATCAGCTCAAATCAGATGTTGAACACACGGAGGAGGTTTGATCGCGCGCGCAAACTCGACAATCGACTATTGTGGACTTCGGCCGAAAACAGGAAGTAAATACGGGTATGTGAGCTGGCTGAATAAAGCTTTCTTTTACTGTCTATGGAATAAAGAGATTATTCCTGCCTTCGTGAAAGCTCGGATCACAGTTGAGACTGATATATCAGCCTAGGGCAGGCATCCACGATCCATTGGCAGATAGTGGCGTAAGTCGCTCGGCGCTGTCTCCCCGTCTTGGTGAACGTGTCTTCCCCATCCATATATAAGGCGCTCCGGATTATAAAGCGCACTGTCGTTTTTTGAGAAAATTAATAGCTTTTAAGTGCGCCTTATAGTGCGGAAAATACGGTAAATGTGTATTTTGGAAAAAATTTTTTAGCACAAGTCTGAAAGAAGACATGTTTTTGCCTGCCGTGTCTCGCCTTAAGTCACCTTCATTTATATAGCACTTTTAACAATATATGTGGCCTGTGGGTTTGAGGCGTTCTTTGTTTCTCTCTCTCATCTCCCTCCTCCTTCGCTTCTGCTCGCCTTCACTCCACCTCATGTTGCTACGTTGCCTGATGTGGGTGGGAGTGGTTGGAAATTGAGAGCAGGCAGGTTTATAGGCACCTGGGGTCCTCATGCCGGTAGCCATACACTGTAGCTAGCTGCTAACGTGTTGGAGTGCAGCAGTGTTCCGGGGCGCTGTTTGTAGTGCAAGGTGTTGCGAGTGATTGCCAACGGCACTACTGTTGGTGTGTGTGTGCGCTTCTGAAACATGTGAAAATGTCTAGACTGACGAGCACAGAGGAGCGTTCCGTGACCCTGGTGAAATTGTGAAGCACCGAAACACGGTCTACCCACCCAATCGCTAGACGGCAGGGGCAGGCAGAGGCTACGGCCAATCCATTGTAGGCTGCTTTTTAGACACTTTTCTGTAATGTTTCATTTTTTTCCCGCTAACCGGTGGGTTGTAAGAGATTTGTGTTAGTGAACTGATTGTGACCACTGGCTAGGGTTGCCGCGGTGAGGAAAATTTCCCACCGGTTAATCGACGTGTCACAACACCGGTAATCCCGGTGTCACCGTGGGGGGCGGGGCGGGGGGGTTAAATAGCTTTTAAATGCGTGCGCGTTATACTTTCACTTTCGAAATAAGCGTCAATTGGCAATTCAGCGTCAATTGCTTGAATGGACAAAAAAACAACAACTCGGCTCGCTGATAATAAAACGGGGTTAAATAGCTTTTAAATGCGTGCGCGTTATACTTTCACTTTCGAAATAAGCGTCAATTGGCAATTCAGCGTCAATTGCTTGAATGGACAAAAAAACAACAACTCGGCTCGCTGATAATAAAACTTTTATTTATAGACAGAACTTTTATTAGCATAACGAACGAATAAAAATAACCCCATGCATAGGCTGAAAATCGTCAAACTGTGGGCCCAAACAAATAAGAACCATAAAACGTTTATTAACGAATAAGAAAATAAAACAGGCCTAAATAAATTACACATTCCGCCATTATCTTTCTTTTCTGTAATTTGACTCGTTCTCATCTCCACACGTGCTAAATGGAATCCTGATGCTTGCTGATCTGTGACGTGACTGGCTCTTGGCACGCACTGCGCAGTTCAGTTTTTAATTATAATGTATGCTCTCTTCTGAACTAAATAATTGATAATTATTATTTTTAATTAATTCAAATAAATATTTTAGCAAAAACTAATACTTTAAAAAAGTCAAGACATCGTGGTGTCACGGTGGGAAAGTGATGTCACCGGTGATGGGGCTTAAAACCGGTAACACCGTCAACACCGTCTATCGCGGCAAGCCTACCACTGGCTAGCGGTTTCTTCTTCTTTTTGTTGTTGTTTGTTTCAACCCCTTCCCTAGTAATAGTCTCGGTGTGGATTGGGCCCATAGGATAGACTAGCTCACCGGGTTCTAGCCTAGTTTCCTTAGTGTTTCACTCATTTGGAACCAATGTGTGCAGTGTAATGCTGTGACGTGCGCATCTTTTGGAAATGGCTCAAAGAGCATGATTGCTGTGGTTGTCTAGGCTGAGTTTGTAGTGTTGGTTTTACTCTAAGTGGTGTACCTTAGCTCACGTGTGGTATTGAAACCTAGGCCTGGGCAAGCTTGTAATCCGGTGGCCCACCCTCCTATGGCTTATCCCTATGTCAAATTATGTATTTTTGTGTTATTTATTATTATATATTTTTAAACAGTAGTCATTAGCAAGAAGACACAATGGATTACCAATGAAGAAAGAAGATTCATAGCCTACATGTCATATATTAAATATATACACTCACCGGCCACTTTATTAGGTACACCTGTCCAACTGCTCGTTAACACTTAATTTCTAAGCAGCCAATCACATGGCGGCAACTCAGTGCATTTAGGCATGTAGACATGGTCAAGACAATCTCCTGCAGTTCAAACCGAGCATCAGTATGGGGAAGAAAGGTGATTTGAGTGACTTTGAACGTGGCATGATTGTTGGTGCCAGAAGGGCTGGTCTGAGTATTTCAGAAACTGCTAATCTACTGGGATTTTCACGCACAACCATCTCTAGGGTTTACAGAGAATGGTCCGAAAAAGAAAAAACATCCAGTGAGCGGCAGTTCTGTGGGCGGAAATGCCTTGTTGATGCCAGAGGTCAGAGGAGAATGGCCAGACTGGTTCGAGCTGATAGAAGGGCAACAGTGACTGAAATAACCACTCGTTACAACCGAGGTATGCAGCAAAGCATTTGTGAAGCCACAACACGCACAACCTTGAGGCGGATGGGCTACAACAGCAGAAGACTCCACCGGGTACCACTCATCTCCACTACAAATAGGAAAAAGAGGCTACAATTTGCAAGAGCTCACCAAAATTGAACAGTTGAAGACTGGAAAAATGTTGCCTGGTCTGATGAGTCTCGATTTCTGTTGAGACATTCAGATGTTAGAGTCAGAATTTGGCGTAAACAGAATGAGAACATGGAACCATCATGCCTTGTTACCACTGTGCAGGCTGGTGGTGGTGGTGTAATGGTGTGGGGGATGTTTTCCTGGCACACTTTAGGCCCCTTAGTGCCAATTGGGCATCGTTTAAATGCCACGCCTACCTGAGCATTGTTTCTGACCATGTCCATCCCTTTATGGCCACCATGTACCCATCCTCTGATGGCTACTTCCACCATGTCACAAAGCTCTAATCATTTCAAATTGGTTTCTTGAACATGACAATGAGTTCACTGTACTAAAATGGCCTCCACAGTCACCAGATCTCAACCCAATAGAGCATCTTTGGGATGTGGTGGAACGGGAGATTCGCATCATGGATGTGCAGCCGACAAATCTGCGGCAACTGTGTGATGCCATCATGTCAATATGGACCAAAGTCCCTGAGGAATGCTTCCAGCACCTTGTTGAATCTATGCCACGAAGAATTGAGGCAGTTCTGAAGGCAAAAGGGGGTCCAACCCGTTACTAGCATGGGGTACCTAATAAAGTGGCCGGTGAGTGTATAGGTGTCACATATATTCTATACTTTACACACTATATATACAAAACAATTACATTACACAACACATTTCAGTTTTTGTATACAATATAATTACTATACTAAACAAATCTGTAATTGTGGGATCCTAAAGTGGTTGTGAGTCCCTCACATATTTAGCTGTCAGTGGAGCTGCCGTCTCCTCTCCTAGGAGAACTTCCAGCTTCTTTTCTGGTGTTAACTTGGGAAGTTTTATTCTTTTGCCTATTTTTCCAAGGTGTAAATCTCTTAGTGAAGATTATTCCAAATTGGAAAAACTTATTTTTGCAGTAATGGGAATTAAACGTTCCATCTCTTGTCTTACATCTAGCCCCTGTCTCTGTCTCTCTCTCTCTCCCTCTCTCCCTCTCTGTAACATTTGTGGCATTATAGATTATGGCCTCCATCTATTTGTGTTTTATAATATGGATGAACAGTTAGTAATAAACTATAAATGTAATTTCAGTCTCTGAGATTGAGAGAGGCTTGGAGTCATTCCACCTGTGTGATGGACTGTTGATGTGTTGTTTTAGATGTTATGATCAGTGATGGATGAAGCAATAATGAGTTTTGGATGTTAAACAGTGTGATACATCGATTTAAGCATATTTTGTCTGTAATTCATGGCTTTCAATAGAAATTAGTGGAATGTTTTCCGATTTTCCACGTCTGTAGCACCACACCAAACTTTACAGCCGTGTTCCTAACTATATTGTGAAGGTTTGTCCAGAGGGGTTTGTTGATATATCATTCTTGGCCTGATTTGTATGACATTGTATGCCTAAAAATAGGGAGGAAATCTATTTAAGGCTATTGGCAGTATTTTCTGATTTAAAGGGTAACAAAAGGAGATATTCATAATTCCCTCTGGTAATGTTTTTTTTCTTCCAATGGTCAGATTCGTCACTTCAAAATATATGCAAATTAGCATATCTTTAATTAGATATAGCCTGATTAGCATATTTAGACATAAAATTACAGAAAACTTGCAATACATTTTTGTCTCCTATTCATGTGATAAACTTTCATGGTGGTGTCAGTAAGTTAAATGTTTTACCATATTCACTGGTAGTGTCTCGCCTTAATGAATAAATGTCATATTCCTTAGTTAATATGATCGTGCCGTCGTGTTCATGCTACTGTATCAGATATCAAGCAGATCCTCAGGAAAGAAGCATGATCATGCACGGATGGGATGAGTGATGGAATTTATTCTCTTTTAAAGAGGATTAGTATTAGGCAAAATTAGCAAAAACACAGAAAGTGTGAATGCTAAAAGGCATGAATGTAACGTACATAATTGCATAAATATACATGTAGGCAACAAAATACATAACAGTGTTTCACAAAATATAACTATGATTCAATCTCATTCAGTGACACAGCATGATTACCAAAAAGACTTTATATTATAAAATATTTACACACATATTGTGTAATATGATGTGTTTATATGATGGTGTGTTGCAAGTATGCTTAGTACTTTTATTTGCATTTAACCGTTATATTACATCGGTATATGTTGTTGCCTATGTCTATGGTAGCCTAACTGACGATGCTAGTCAAACAAATATTATAACTTCTGCTATTCGATCACATTGAAACATAAAACAAATTATATAACCACTAAGAGCACAAACATACCTTTAAAGAAGAGTAGTACGAGGCGAAATGAGCAAAAACACACCGGAAGTCCTTCTCTCTCACTCCTGCATGGACAAACACACGCGCGAATGAAGCGATAGGCGAAACACGATTCAAAGCGCCAGTTTCAACGAGAGTTCTCTAAATACACGGATACACGTCATGAAGTATTTATCAACAAAGTTTTAACACGATGTTCACTGATAAAGAGACGGTAAATAGGTCATATTTATGAGTATGAGCGGGTGAAATACACTGAGCTTCTGCCTTTACAGTGAGACTGAGCGCGAATGCTTAAAGGGGAGAGAAAGCGCTTCCAATGGGCGTTTCTCACCGCGAGCTGGAGCTCCGCGTCAGACTCGCGTCAGATCCGCGTCAGACTCGTCATATAAGGGAGCAACTTTTTTAGAAGTTGGTCATTTATACACTTGATAGCCCTAGTGAAAAAAAAGTATACTTTATTGTATTTGAAATATATTCTCTTTTTCAATATTAGGCCTACATTGCAAATACTATTCCCATATATAAATATACTTTTAAAAAATAAACTGAATTTTCACTTCAAGTATATTTTTCTAAAATATATATTTGTTTTTAGAAAATATTCTAAAGTAAAATTATTTAAAAGTGTGTTAAAAGTTGTATTGTGAAAATAGGTAAAAGCATGATGCTAATATAGTTTAAATATATTTAAAGATGGTACTATTAGACTGCAAAATATAATGCAATATATTACAAAATACATTTCCATATAATATAGCCTATATGCATTGACTATGTATGGCTATATATTAATGAATATAAAATATTTATAAATAAAGACAAAAATAGCATTACATGTATTATTCACAAAGTTGTATCCTTTATTGTGTACATATATTTCAGATACATGTTCCCATATACATGTTAATGTATTTATATGGGAACATATGCAGTCACACACATTCACGGAATGAGTTACATCAGATTTCTAGTTACCAGCATGCTTTGCTTCTTCTTCTGACAGAGGTAAACAAATATTAAAATTAAGTATTTTGTTCAATATGTATATAGGGGTAGATCTGTTAGTTTTTAATGCTCTCTGTATATTTTAAAATATATATGTTTTATGGTAGGTGACCATTGTGCTGAAGACTATTATTATTATATTTTATAAGTAATGATTGTGCTCTCCTCAGCACAGTGATAGTCTCTTGACTAAAAACTATAGTACTTGCAGGCGTGCTTGTGCTTTTAATAACTAACTTGAAAATATGAAATAATGTAAACAATAAAAAATATATAAGAAATATATTACATTAAATATTTCTCATATGTGTGTTTATGTTGCATGTTGTGCAGTACCATATCTGATCAATATATGAAAAGCTGTAATTCCTTATGTATTATTCAATATATTGTAATCAACACAATATATTATTCTGTATTTTTTTTTTTATATACTGTTAAACCATTTAATATATTGATAATTCATAGGAAATATATTTTAGTTCCGCAAGGGCAGTCATGCTTCGATACGGTTACCAGACAGCAAACTGCGCAGATTAAAAACAACACAAAACGCACACTCAGGTTTGATTTGGGTAGTGATGAACCTGTCTGTGTATTACATAAACTAAAAAAAAAGTTTAGATTTAATTTTCTCGCTAGTTTAGTTTTTAAAACATAATAAAAAAACAAGTTTAAATGGGTAAATCTTCTATAAATATTTTTTTGAATCTCCATTTGTTTTTCTGACATTTCCTACTCCAGTTCTTGTTAAAACACACTAGACATCCTTATTCTGTGAATTTTGGGCACTTTTTATGTGAAATATTTACAATTTTGGTCGCAAATTGCGCATGTGCCAACTTCAACATCTATTCCAGGCGGGAATCACGAAATTCAAATTCAACGTCTTCCAGCGGGACCGGCACGAAGTGTTGAGCTTCAGGTACGTTTTGTTGTTATTGTTGTTGTTTATCGTGTTGATATAATATAACGCAAATGTTAACTTATTTAATGGTGAGATTTACCAAAAGATTTGTAATTTGCTCGCTTCTGTTATCTTGTCGGTGCCACACCCTAGCTGATATAGTCTGAGGTTGGTCGATTTCGCGTTGATAGCGAAGTTAAACACCTGTAAATGCGAGTAACTTATCCTTGGAAACCGGTTTTAAGTGTGTTTCTTGCAAAAATAGTACATTCGCAGAGAGTGATTTCAAGTGTGATAGCACCTTACTCCTTTTAACAGGTTGATTTAGACCTTTCACATTCCAAGAAGCAAAAACAAGCCCTGGTCTGTTACCTAATGTTACAATCATCATTAGGGACCAAATATTTTGTTATTACCACACATATTAACACTTTGAAGTATCTTAAACAGGTCCCCACCCCACCCAACCACCAACTTAAAGGAACACTCCTTTTTGGGACTTTAGCCTATTCACCTTATCCCCCAGAGTTAGATAAGTCCATACATACCTTTTTCATCTCCGTGCGTGCTATAAGTCTGTTTGACGCACCCACCGCTAGCCTAGCTTAGCACAAAGACTGGATGTAAATGGTTGCAGCTAGCATACTAATCCAAATAAGTGACAAAATAACGCAAACCTTTTCCTATTTACATGTTGTGATTTGTATAGTCACAGAGTGTACAAAAAACAAAGTCACATGAGACACAGACATATTTTAACCGTATAAATACTGGGAACTATATTCTCTGAAGGCGAAGCACTGCTACTCGGGCGGAGTGATAACCGCAGCAACCGTGAGGAGCAGAGAGTTCGTTCAGAGTTTGGGTACGGTCAGTCTCAGGTGCTGCGGTTATCACTCCGCCCATGTAGCAGTGCTTCGCCTTCAGAGAATATAGTTCCCATTATTTATACGGTTAAAATATGTCTGTGTCTCATGTGACTTTGTTTTTTGTACACCCTGTGACTATACAAATCACAACATGTAAATAGGAAAATGTTTGCGTTATTTTGTCACTTATTTGGATTAGTATGCTAGCTGCAACCATTTACACCCAGTCTTTGTGCTAAGCTAGGCTAGCGGTGGGTGCGTCAAACAGACTTATAGCACGCACGGAGATGAAAAAGGTATGTATGGACTTATCTAACTCTGGGGGATAAGGTGAATAGGCTAAAGTCCCAAAAAGTTGGAGTGTTCCTTTAAATAACAACCCCGTCATCTGACCGACGAATAGAACCAGCTGCGAAAAACAAGGTAAATTGAAAATGAACAAATTAGTATCAGAACAGTGATGAGTGATAGATTAACTTCCTAGAAAAAGCCTAACATAAATATCTAATTGGTTGACCTTCAAACAATAATCAACACAGCTCCACAGTAGGGAATTTCAGAAGAACATCTCAGAACATATAGAAAAATCAAAGGAAAGAAAGGAACAGATATGTAACGGGTCGTGGTTATGACACAATTCTGTATCAATTATAGGCAAGAGAAGTAGTTTGTTTAGGCATGGTTTGTAGTTGGTTGGTTGAATTACAAACCTGCACACATATATTCAAAAGCACATAACTATAGAATAAATTCTTAATGCGCATGTGAACGCCACCAGCATTTATCACAGGTTCACGTTTAGAGTCTGTTTAGAGAAGGGCGTCGTCTTAGCGGCCCCTAATTTAATAACAAATGATAATTTTGGCGGAGGTGAATCAATCAAAACTAACTTTAGCTGGAAATAACATTATTCGAGAATCTCTATAAAGCCAAAACAATCTCTGTTACCTTAAATTATGTTAGTCTCTGTAAAGCTGCTTTGAAACAATCCATTGTTAAAAGCGCTATATAAATGAAGATGACTTGACTTGACTATGAAAATTGTACACTTATCATTACAAAATAATTACACTCGGAGAGTGTTGTATTGTTGACACTTTTCTCAGATGCATGACCTCTTTAGAACAATTACCCGGATCCGAGGCAGTTTTCTGCAAACTTGACGGCCTTGTCCGTGAAATAATGTTCCTTGCCGTTGAATGAGATCCTTAATTTCTCTGGGTACTGTAGACCGTTCTTGACACCAAGTTTGTCCCTCAGCAGTTCCCTTGCTCATTTGAAAAGCGTGCTGCGTTTTACAACTGCTGGAGGGTAGTCCAGGAAGATGTTTATTTATTGCCCCTTGAAAGTGACTTGCTGCATCTTCTGCAAAATTTCTTTTATTTCATAAGTGTAGTTTAGCCGAAGAACGAAAGCCAGCAGTGGTTCATCATCCACGGGTCGATTGCGCAACGATCAACAAGTGGCAGATTATCTAGCGATAAAGCCCCCATCAGAAGTTGAGCGGTAAAGTCCCTTGGTTTCATTCCGGACTCTGCCTCTTCCTTGATGTGTAGTATGTGAATGTTCTGTCTCCTACTAAGTCCTTCAAGGTCCTTGCATTTGTCCAAAAGCTGCTCCACCACCTGCTTTAAATGTCCCACTTCTTGTTCAAGCTGGGTTACTGTATCCGAAGAAGTGGAAGCGTTAGTTTCCAAGCTTGCAAGTTTTGAAGCATGCTCATCCACCGTGATTTTAATAGCCGAAATCGCAGAACTGGCTTCATGTTGGAATGCCGTTATCTCTCCTCGTTTAGAGACAGCAAGTTGTTCAATCTATTATCTCCCCGATATCCGATTTGATTGAGTGTATTTCACAGCGCATTGAAGAGATTGCACCAAGAATCGCTGCGTTACCTGCATCCTGAGTACTTTCCGCCGACGCATCTTCTGTAGCAGTCCGAGGCGGACACGGCCTGATCCGCTACGTTTGGCTGGCATGTTTAACTACCAATATCCCAGATCAACAATATTGATATGTCAATTGTAATCAAAACTCTGTTCCTTTCCTAACCAAAAAGATTATTAAAAGATGTTCTGACTGTAATACTATTTGGATTTACCGCGGAGCTGTTGTAGAACGTGTGCTACCCGCTCATGTTGAAACCAGAAGTCTTCGCTGTTATTTTTAGTGTATTTTGTGCTGCTCTCTGGGCAGGAATACTCAATATATGTTAAAATCACTGTTATTTTCGGAGCACTATGAAGTAGGGTATTCCTGCAATGCTGGAGGCTGCAGTTTCAGAGGACCCTAGGTTTTTTTTTTAGGTTTTATGTATTAGCAGTTTATAATATTTTATAGC